GTGGAGAGTCCCTTTTATCATTATATACTGTCCCTCTTTGTCTTTCTTTATCTGTTTTGCTTTGAAATCTACCTTGTCTGATATTAGTATAGCGACACCTGCTTTCTTTTGTTCATTATTAGCTTGGAGTATTGTTCTCCATCCCTTCACTCTGAGTCTGTGTTTGTCTTTGGGGCTGAGGTGTGTTTCCTGGAGGCAGCATATTGTTGGATCTTGTTCTTTGATCCATCCTGCCACTCTGTGTCTTTTGATTGGGGAGTTCAATCCATTTACATTTAGAGTGATTATTGAGACGTGGGGGCCTACCACTACCATTTTGTGTCTTGTTTTCCGGTTTTCTTCAGTTTCCTTTGTTTCTCGTCCCATGGTTTAATCTGTTCTGATGTAGAGCTGCTACTCTCTGTTGTTGTCCTTCTACTTATCTCCTCTGCTCTTGGTTTTGTAGCCCCTTTCCTTTTTTGGATTTTTCAGGAATGAGGGTTTTCCTGAGGATTTCCTGAAGAGGAGGTTTTGTGGCAATGAACTCCCTTAATTTTTGTTTATCTGGGAAATTTTTTATTTCTCCATCGTATTTGAAGGATATTTTCGCTGGGTAGAGAATTCTCGGCTGTAGGTTTTTGTCCTCCAGATTTTTGAATATATCATTCCACTCTCTTCTAGCCTGTAAAGTTTCTGCTGAGAAATCTGCTGATAGCCTGATGGGGGTTCCTTTGTAGGTTAGTTTCTTTTGCCTGGCTGTCCTTAATATTTTCTCCTTGTCGTTGACTTTTGCTAGCTTCACTACTATATGCCGTGGAGTTGGTCTTCTTGCATTGATAAAGTTTGGAGATCTATTGGCTTCTGTCACCTGAAGATCCATCTCCCTCACCAGATTTGGGAAGTTCTCAGCCATTATTTCTTTGAATAGGTTTTCTGCCCCTTTCTCCTTCTCTTCTCCCTCTGGTATACCTATAATCCTTACGTTGCATCTCCTAATTGTGTCTGATAATTCTCGGAGAGTTTCTTCATTTAAGTCTTGCTTCTCTCTCCTCCTCTGCCTGCAACAATTCTATATTGCCATCTTCCAAATTGCTAATTCTTTCCTCCATATTATCGGCCCTACTGTTCAGAGCATCTAGATTTTTCTTAATCTCCTCTATTGTGTTCTTCATTTCCAATATTTCTGTTTGGTTCTTCTTTATCGTATCAAACTCTTTTGTGACATAGCTCCTGAACTCGTTGAGTTGTCGGTCAGAATTCTCTCTTAACTCAGTGAGTATTTTGATGATGGCTGTTTTGAAGTCATCATCATTTAGATTATATATCTCATTTTCTTTGGGATTGTTTTCTGTGTATTTGTTACTTTCTTTCTGTTCTGGAGATTTAATGTATTTTTTCATATTGCTTGATGATGTTGATTTGTGCCTCTGCATGGAGATAGAGTTTAGTTGCTCCTTTCACTTGTTTCAGCTGCTGCGGTGGGGGGAGCAGCTGTTTATACTTCACCAACCAGGAACCCTGTCCGTAGTTGCTAACTGGGCCTGGGCCCCTCTTCGTAGCCACAGTGGCCCTTTGGATTCCCTCCTCTGCCGTGGGGGCCGTCACGGGGGGCTTCAGGCTGCAGGGGCCTACTGTTGTTGCCCACCTAGATGCGCTCTCTCCTTGGGGTCTGCAACGGTGTTATGGGCTTTTCCAGCGGCCAGGGGTGGGATCACTTATATTTGTCGCTCCGTTGCTGTCGGCACCCACCAAATCTCACTTGTCCTCTATGGGTCGCAGGAGAGCTATTGGCATCTTCTACAGTCTGTGGTTAGTACACCTAGCTATGCTGCTTTTGCCCTGGGGTCTTCCAGCCTTGTGGCTGGCGGCTGGGTGCCTTCTACTGGTGCTGTGCAGAGGCTTTCCCTAAGGCTTCTGTGAGCCTGTAGGGTTTCCCCCTAGGCTACTAAGCTGGGTCTCTGGAACTCTCTCCAGCCCCAGTCCTCTCCGAGATCTCCGGCAATCCCTAGCCTCACCAGGCGGGCAACGGCAGCTGGGGGTCGCCCCGCCCTCTGGGCTTCTCTCCGGGCCTCTGCCGGGAGCCCTGAATGCTCAGCGTGGCCCCTCTGCTACCGGCAGACAGAGAGTTTTGTCTGCTGCCTGGCGGAGCTCCGGCGCTTCCCCTCCGGGTCGCCGGACCCGCCTTTGAAAGTTCCCCCGCCCCGGTCCTCTCCGAGATCTCCGGCAATCCCTAGTCCCACGGGGCGGGCAACAGCAGCTGGGGGACGCCCCGCCCTCTGGGCTTCTGTCCGAGCCTCTGCCGGGAGCCCTGAATGCTGGGCGTGGCCCCTCTGCTAATGGCAGACAGAGAGTTTTGTCTGCTGCCTGGGGGAGCTCCGGAGCTTCCCCTCCGGGTCGCCGGACCCGCCTTTGAAAGTTCCCCCGCCCCGGTCCTCTCCGAGATCTCCGGCAATCCCTAGTCCCCCGGGGCGGGCAACGGCAGCTGGGGGTCGCCCCGCCCTCTGGGCTTCTCTCCGGGCCTCTGCCGGGAGCCCTGAGTGCTCAGCGTGGCCCCTCTGCTACCGGCAGACAGAGAGTTTTGTCTGCTGCCTGGCGGAGCTCCGGCGCTTCCCCACCGGGTCGCCGGACCCGCCTTTGAAAGTTCCCCCGCCCCGGTCCTCTCCGAGATCTCCGGCAATCCCTAGTCCCCCGGGGCGGGCGTCTCTCTGGGACCCTCCGGGCGCCCCGAGCACCAGGCTGGGTCTCCCCGCCAATGGCGGGGAGAGACTCTCCCCGCGGCTCAGGTGTGCAACTCCAAAGTTTCCCTCTGCGTTTAGGAGTAATTGCAGGGGGTTTAAGTAGGGTTCTGGTCACCTGTTTCCACCGTCGCTCCTCTGTTGTGTTCTCGCTCCTGCCCTAGATGTGTGTGGATCCTCTGGGGGCGTCCGTTGGAAGAAAGCCGCTTGCGGGTACTAGGCTGCCCGTCGGGGTCGGAGAGTTTTCACCTATTTCCACATCCTCCCGGAGGAAAGTCCGTCCGCCTTCCGATGTATAGTCGCGTGGGTGTCTCAGACGTCCTGAGATGCTGTCTGGATATCCTTTGTCAAGCGATAAGTGTCCAAATAATTGTAGACTCGAAGGGCGAGAGACAAAGAGGACTACTCACGGCGCCATCTTGGAATCAAGTCCTGCAACTTCTTTATTACTTCTTTTCTTGAGAGGGGGTGTCTAGTCCCCTTCCCCTGGTCTTAGTGACTTGCTTAAGCAATAGAATGAGAATGAAGTAGAAGTGATTTGCTGGGACTTCATAAGAAATCTTGAAGCTGCCACCTGGGGCCTCTTGGAATGCCACCTCTGGGAACATGAGCCACCATTTAAGAAGTCTGATTACCTTGAGACTGCTATGCTCTGAGGAAGCCCAAGGTATGCACATGGAAAGAGGCAGATGCTCAGTCATTTTCAGCTGTTCCAGCCATCCCAGCCCAGGCACCAGACATACGAGTGAAGAAGCCATTTTGGACATTTCCAGTCCCAGCAGACACAAAGGGAAGAAGAACCAAGGAATCACCTGGAGACAGCCAGTACTGAGGCCCAGACACACAGCCCCTGTCAATTATAGCATTCTAGCGATCTCCAGACATTTGAACCACACCAGCCAAAGCTCGAGTCATGGAGCAGACACGAGTTGACCCTGCTGCGCCCTGCTCAAAATCCTGACCACAAAATCATGAGCATAATGTTTTGGGGTGTATGTTATGCACCAATAGATAACCAGAATAACAGTAATACACGAAAAAATAGTCATTATACAAGATTCAAAGAATATAGATGTATTCAAAGAAAATGAGGAAACTTTCCCATCACCCCCTCATTTCACTTCTACTCCTTTTTTTATAGGTAACAGTCAGCTGTTCATCTTACCAGTCTCCTTATGATGTGTTTACATACATCTAAGTATTTGTTATATTTACGTATCATGCTATACATATTTTCCCAGATTTTTTTTATAACTTAACAGTGTGCCTTTGAAATGTATCTGGATCAAGATGAATAGGGTTCTTTTACTCTTAACAGCTGCACAGTATGCCATAGTATGGGTGTACCATAATTGTACTTACTATCTCCTCTGTTGATGGATATTTAGGTTGTTTCCAATGCTTGCTTTAATGAACAATTCTGCAACAAACATCTTATAAAGCAAATTTGTGTACATTCAACAATTTCTTTAGGATAGCATTCTAGAAATGGGATAAGTGAAGCAAAGGGTATGTGCTTTTTTTTTGTTTTTGAGGAAGATTAGCTAACATCCCTAAACTAACATCTGCCGCCAATCCTCCCCTTTTTGCTGAAGACTGGCCCTGAGTTAACATCTGTGCCCATCTTCCTCTCCTTTAAATGTGGGATGCCTGCCACAGCATGGCTTGATAAGCAGTGTGTAGGTCCACACCCAGGGGGCCACTGAAGCAGAACATGTGAACTTAACCGCTGTGCCACCGGGCTGGACTTAACTGCTGTGCCACCGGGCTGGCCCCAGGGTATGTGCATTTTTAAAGGTTTCTTCGGTGGTAAAATATACATAAAATGTACTAAAACTTAATTACTGTTAAGTGTATAATTCAGTGGCATTAAGTGCGCTCACATTGTTGTGCAACCATCACCACCCTCCATCTCCAGAACTATTTCATCATCCCAAACTGAAACTATCTATTAAATAATAACTCCCTATTACCCTCTCCTCCCAGCCCCTGGTGATCACTATTCTTTTTTCTGTCTCTATGAATTTGACTATTCTAGGTACCTCGTATACATGGAATCATACAGTACTTGTCTTTTGGTCTGGCTTATTTCACTCAGCATGATGTTTTCAAGATTTATCCATGTTGTAGTATATATCAGAACTTCCTTCCTTTTAAAGGCGAATAAGTGGGTAGGTACATCACTTGGCCAATGTCACACATCTGTTTAACCCTAGGGACAGTATTCTCACTCTGACCCCAGAGCCTGTGCTATGAAAGCGTATAAAGCACTCACATGATACTTGGTACATACAAAGTGCTCAAGATATATTAGCTTCAATTAGGAGTGTCATCCACTGCAGTTCCAAAACTCTGATTTTTGGTATTTTGATCCTTCCCCCACCCTCTCAACCACCACAACAGCCTTAGAAAATGTTTTTGGTGGTCTTTGATGTCCAATTTTAGCCTTGATTCTCGAAGTCGTTTTCTCCTAAATACTTCCTGCAGCATTAAGAACTGTTTCTAGCTGCTAGCTTCTGCGGAGGATGGTCCTTGCCAGTAGGGTGGGGGCTGGGTGTCCAGTGTGCTTCCAGCTGCAGCCCCAGAGACCACGCACAGGGTCACCCCCTACAGGATGACAGGAGAAATGCCACGTGAGTTTGGCTGGGATGTGCGGCTTGGTACCGTCCTATGGGTGAATGCAGTTGTCCAAAGAGTAGGGCTTTCCTGGGCAAATAGCCTTTCAGTATGTCAGTTTATCTCAATCATGTTTTTAAATTTTTAGTTTCTGCTCTTGTAGCTTCAGGGGAGCCAAGGCCTGAGATCTTACACTCTTATTAAAGAGTCTGTCTGCGTTAATTTGACGCCTGCAGTGTGCGTGTTTACTTTGGAAGTAAGTCTGTGCTGTGTTTCCTTCAGCACTGGCAAACCTCACATATTATTTGAAAACCTCACATATTTGTTTCTCTATGGGCACAGCCTGCTCTTTAAAAATCATCTTCCTAATTCTCTGTACTCCAGTGAAAAAACATTGTAGTTAATGAGGTTTTAAATTTTTGTTATACAAATAATGAGCAAAACATGAAAGTCTTACTCTAACATTTCGTTTGCTAGATTTTGCTTTGCCTAATTATTTCACACTAGTAATATATTCACAGACTATGTTTCATGTGTCATAAAATGCTTAAATGCTCATTGAAAAACACAAAAAGGCATAGAAGATATTTAGTGAAAAGCAGAACTCCCACGTCTACTTCTACTCTCTAGAGGTTGCCATGTTATTTTTTGTCTCCCTTCAGATACTTAAATTTTTAAAATATTTTTCCTATTATTTACAAACAGGATTATACTATCACGTTGTATTGTAAGTGTGGTCTTCTCATTTAATAATATTTATGGGCATCTTTGCACATTAGCACATGGAAATTACCGCATTGTTTTCAACGGATGCAGTGCAGCCCACGGAATAGATTCACCAAATTTTACTAAGTCAGTCTCCTGGTGATAGTCATTTAAGTTGTTTACAGTTTCCAACTAATTGGTAAGTGTGGCAGGGAGGGGCATGTTCCAGAAGGATGACAAAGATTTGAGTAAGAAGGTGCCCCCCCACACTACCAGGCAGGTGAATACAGTCTGTTTACCTGAGACTAGAAAGTAGTCTTGATGGGAAGTACTTAAACAAATAGAATGTTGGAACCAGAAATACAGATAGACCACGTAGTGGGATGTTCCATTTTTTTCCCCCTGCAGTACATTTGGATCAAAGGAAAACTTTCTTGAAGGTGAAATATGCAAAATAGTTAAAAGCAGGGGCTGCTCTGGCTGAGGTGGGGGTCTACGCCGAGACACCCCTGCTAGGTTCCCCTATGCGGACTTCAGGAAGTCCAGGAACCCCCGGAAATGATATACGAAACTGTAGATGCACGTCCTTTTTTCTAAACAAAACCATTATCCCACGGCCCATAGCATTTTACTAGGTTTTTCCGAAAAGAATCATAATACAGACGAGTCTAAGGATCTGTACTCTAGGGTTCCGAGGGGCAGTGTTTGAAAACCGAGAAGACGGCAGTGCTGGTGTCGGGCTGAAAGATCCATTTCTTTCACAGCTCTTATCTTGACTTGAAATTACCGTCTACTCCCCTCTCTCCACCCAAGGAGATAAGCTTCTTGGGGCAGGGGTCCTGCCGGACGTAACCATCCTCGCCATGACACACTAAGTGGTACATAGCAGGCACTCAGTAAATACCTGCTGTAAACATGAGTGAACGAGGTCTGCAGGCTCATGAGGGGAGGAGGGCTTTGGGGACCAATGGCATCCGCGAGCTGGGGGCCGCCAGGGCATCCGCCGACTCCACCGCAGGCAGCCGTACCCGGGATACCACCGGCGAAGACCCCTCTTCCTCCGTTCCCGGTGCACTGCCGCTGTAGTCTGCACCGCGGCCCAGCGCCCTCTGGGAAACGCAGGCCCCAGTGATTCCGCCCGCTCGCCCTCTGATTGGTTCCGAGTACTCCCGGGGCCCCTGGGAGTTGTAGTTCGGGTAGTCGCCGGCTCTTACGCAAATCCACCCCGGGGTACCCAGGCCGCTGCCCGGTGGCGTGCAGGGAGCTGGCCCCGGCGGTGCGTCGCGTCCCCCGGGGCTTCCCCTCCCTTGGGCAGGCCCCGCGGGTCCCCGGCGGAGATGGTGCGCAGGGCGGATCTCGACTCCAGCGGCTGCCCGTCTGTCGGGGCCCTGCACGGACACGTCCCCCTTTATCTTCCGGAGGCTCTTCCCACGACAAACCCCCTTCTGCTCTAGGCCTCTTCCCCTCGCAGCGATTGCCCAGGGAGGTGCCGCCGAGCGTGAGGCCTGAGGGGCAGGCGCCTACCTGCCCCCTTGCGCGGATACGAGGGCGAAGGCCAGGATCCGCGGGGTGTGCGCGGAAGGAGTCCTGGAGGTGCGGGCCGTGCTGGGGCGGCGAGCTCCAGTCCACCCGCACGGACACCGCCCATGTCGTGCCTGGCGCTGTGCCAGGCACGTTTGATCCATAATCTCACTGAATTCCTCCAACAACCCATTTGACAGGAAACAGGCTCAGAGAAATCGACTTGGCCAGCTCACACAGGTCCTAGATCTTGGAGTCCCGTATTTCCCCACCACTTCGTGCAGCTTCCAAACCCATGAACAATGTCAATACACGGTGGTGAGCCAGAATGACCAAAGCACAGGCCAGGAGAGGTCAGCTCAGGTGGGTGAGAGGACCGGGAGGTGGGAGTGGGAACAGGATTGTGTAAACCAAACATCAAAGGGTGCAGGTTTCCTCCTTCGCTGACTTGTAAGCCTCTGGCAGTCAGCGACTCTATGCCTAAAGCCAGCCTCCTAGTAGGGTCCCTATAAATATTGGTCGAACAAATTTTTTTTTCAATTTTTTAAAATTCTAAAATGTTTGAATACATAGAAAAATTTAAGGAGTAAAATGCACACCCACCTACCCTCCATCTAGATTTAACAATCAGAAAAAATAATGTACATAGCACTTTATAGCTTGTAAAGCCTCTTAATGTTACCATACTGCAAATGAAGGTCTCATCGGTCAGCTGATTCAGACCCATTACTGCCTCACCTCCACAAGTCAAGGCCGCCCACTGCACCCCACTTTGGGAAGCTTGCTTCCTCTCCCTCCGTTTCCATCCTGCTCAAGAGGTTGTAGGTTGTCCCAGAACTTGGTTCACCCTCAGAAAGCACAGTTACAAGTATGTTTCTCAGTGGGAGGTTCATTGCCTGGAAATTCACTTTGAACTTGAGTGGTTAGCCTCTCAAAGTCTCAGATTTCTCTCTTAAAATTCAATGTATTGGAGGGCGAGGGAGAGTTTGGGTCACAATGGGATCCATTATTTTCAACTCCAGATTACCACAGAAACTCTTCCATGATCTTCCCCAAAGTTTTTTCCATTCTCTCAATAACAGATATGTATTATATTTAAATACTATAAATGTCCATTATCATGATGGTTGGAGGACCAGGACTGATACCCCTTAGAGACTAAGCTAATTATAAAATACTTTTTTAAAACTATTTTTATTATAAAAGTAGTACATATAGATTTTAAAAATCCCAAAGTGATGCAAAAATGAAATGTAAAAAGTAAAAAAACCCTGATCACCAGAAACGGAGTAAAGGTTGGGCTGTCAGCTATGCATTACTTAGGAATAAGAGCAGAGATTGGACCCTTTGTGGCAGCTGCACTGGATCTAGATTTATCATATTCTCTCCAAATAAGGGCACCCATATGGTTACAGAGGTACAAGAAAGAGGAATTCATCAACACTTCACTTTAATTGTTAAATCAAACATTTAAAATGCATCCTGAGGGCTATAATCCTATTTTCACATTTCTTCATTTTAAAAAATCACTGGAACCTGAAAAAATGGAAGCTTTGTCAGCCTCACTTTACCTAGAAAGGCTTCAGTGTCATCAAAACACTACCTTTCAAGAAGTCCCTGTGTCAGAATTGCCCCTGTTGCAAAAAGTGTCGCTGCCATTGCAAAATATCCTGCCGTAGGCTGGAAAGCCCCGTGTCCTACCCTATTCTGTCATAAGTGCGTTAGTCTCAGCTTAGAGGAGTTTCCTGGACAGTCAAGATGGGGTCAGGGACCCCAGGGATGCAAAGGACCCTGCATGTTGTTGCTCAATTTCATCATTTCTGTCTCAGCAGTGGGAGGCTGGGAGGCTGCCTGTGAGGCAGCTGCGTTGCCACCTTCTGGAATCTTGTACCTGTCCTGGTTCCAGAGAGACCCCAGTCAATACTCTTCTGGCCCAACCTGAGAATTTCACACAACTGACATTTGCATCATAAATGTGCATTGGGGTTCATCCAATTTTTAGGGAAGATGTTGGGTTTGGTGGTTATTTTCTCAGCAGGACCCAGAGAACTGGATGTTAGCTACTAAAACAAACCAAAAGCACTGAATACTCTGTAAAATATAAAGCATGTGGACCAAATGGACAAGAAAATAAATTCAACCAACCAGAACTCATTGAAGCCTTGATCTCAGGCTGGTCACACACAGGGCTGCTTGTTCAGCCAGGCATCAGAATGTTGTAACTGACCTGTGAGAGTGGTCAGCATGGCCCATTTTGAGCCTCACTGGTCAGCTGAAAAAATGACAGCCATGGTTAGTGATAAAGAGTAAAATAATAAATTATTATCATGCAGGGAGACAATATTGCAAAGTAGTTATTAGAGTGAGTTTGAATCCTGGCTCTGGGCAAGTCACTAAGGCACCAATCCTGGCTATAAATGGGGGCGACGAGTCCTGGTGCTGCAGGGATTTTAGGAGATAATGGATATACAGCAAGCTGTGCCTGGCACAGAGCAAGCACGGTTAGAGGGTAACTGTATTACCAACAAAACATCTGCAAGCCAAAAGCTTCATGAGAAAGGCAGAAAGTTTTAGCCAGGATATGCAAATAATGCCAACTAAGTGAAGGAAATATCACCATGTTGCAACCACCACTGTAGCAGTTAATTTAGGAAAGGATCATCAACAAACGCTAAGACCTGGGAGGGGAAAGACTGTAGGAGAATGAGACATTTCCACACACGCAGGTTACGTATTAATTACCAAGAAAAAATGTCCTTTTACAATGGAGAGATGTTGAGGATGCCTCACTGTACCCTCAGTCTAATAATGAGGAAACAATCATACAAATCTAAATTGAGGGACATTCTGCTTGGAATGGACATCAAAAACATCAATGTCTTGACAGAATTAAAAAAAGGCGGGGGAAGTGTGACAGTGTTCTAGAGAGAAGGAGACTATAGAGACATGGCAACTAAAAGCAATGCCTGCTCTCTGATTGGGCCCTGGATTGAGAAAAAGAGAAAGCTGTCAAGACATTATCAGGACAATTGGAGAAATTTGGTTATGGACTGATTATGGTGTTGTAAACAATGTGAAATTACCTGAGTGTGATAATTGTATTCTGATTATTTAAAATAATATCCTTGTTCTTAGTATTTAAGGTACCTAGGGTATTTGGGGTGATATTTGAAAACGTTTTAAATTCATTACCAATGGTTCAGAAAGAAAGAAGGTGTGCATGTGTACCTGAGAGAATCACCTAATACTGTAAAATGTAAAAGGTTGTGAGTCTATGTAAAGAGTATATAAGTGTTCATTGTACTGCGCTCTCAACTTTTCTGTAGGTTTGAAATTTTTCAAAATAAAAAGCTGGGGATAAAAATCAGAGTATGCAGAAAGACAGAAGCATTTAATTCAGGAAGGCAGCTCACCCCACATACAACTTCCATACATTCTGAGCCACTTCTGGAACCCCTCATTTGGCTATGAGCTCCGAAGGATACCTATGTCTTTTTCACCCTTGTTTCTCCAGCATCCTGGCATGGTGTCCAGAATATATGTGCTCAGTAAATGTGCATGGACAAGCACCCTCCCTCCACGGTATGCTCCCAGGAAGCTAGGGCAGGGTCACCTCCGGGAACAAACAAATCAGGATGGTGGTCCCAGGCATGGCGTTTTGAGGCCTTCATGTTGCTGGAAGTACCAGACTACTAAAATGCAGCAACAGGGGCAACACCAGGGCTTGTCTCCTGGCAGTGCCCTTCTGGCCTCACCTGCATGCTTGGGCAGGGAAGGGTAAAGCTTGAAGGGCTGTATTTGCTGCCCCCCATCCCCCTACCATTGGCCCTGGAGGGTCAATAAAACCCCAAGAGTCTGGAGGAGAACAGTTGGCCAGAGAGGCTGATCCCCATCATGGTCCTTTCCAGTGTGAGACCAGGGGCTCTGTTCCTACTCCTCACCCACTGGTATCCTAGGAAAAGTAGAGAGGGAAGCATCTGAATGCCTGCTCAAGGATCAAGAGTCTGGAATCCATTCTCAGACAGTCCCTCACAGATTTACCCATTGCTCTGCAGTCCAGCCCGTGGCAGTGAGAGCTGGGAAGGACCACGTGTCTGATAGGCATTAAGCCCCCCCAGCTGGAAAAGCTGTAGAATCTGTAAGAAAGAGAACACAGCCAGTGATGACACACTCCTGGCCTCAATTCCCACCAAAACACAGAGCATTTCCTGTGCCTTTTCCGTTATTTCACAAGCTGCCTCTTTTCACTCACACCCTCTGGGCTCCAAGGACAGAAGATTTTTTCTCCTCCTAGAAGCCAGACAGCTGGTTCCAGCTTCTCCTGGTCAACACCATGGCCAAGACCCCTAGTGACCATCTGCTGTACTCCCTAGAGGAGCTGGTGCCCTACGACTTCGACAAGTTCAAGTTCAAGCTGCAGAACACCAGCCTGGAGAAGGAGCACTCCCGGATCCCCCGGGGCCAAATCCAGACAGCCAAGCCAGTGAAGCTGGCCACTCTGCTGGTCAACCACTACGGGGAGGAGTATGCTGTGCGACTGACCCTGCAGGTCTTGAGAGCCATCAACCAAAACCTCCTAGCAGAGGAGCTCCACAGGGTAACTGGCCCAGGTAAGCAGGCCCTGTACCTCCACCTCTCCCAGTGCAACCACTGGCTGTTCATGGAATGGGGTGGAAGGTGCAAGAGAGAAGTCGTGTTTGGACCAGTGCGTCCTGATTGGAGGTTAGGAGTCCCAGGTCTACCACAACCCCAGTGACTTTGGCCAAATCCCTTCCCTTGCTCTGGTCTTGGAGCTGGATTAGCAAAGCTAAAACTCCCAGTGGCTTAAAAAGAAGAGCTGAGGGGCCGGCCTGGTGGTCTAGTGGTTAAGTTCATGTGCTCTGCTTCGGCGGCCTGGGGTTCACAGGTTCAGATCCTGGGTGTGCACCTAGCACCACTTGTCAAGCCACACTGTGGAGGGATCCCACATAAAACAGAGGAAGATGGGCACAGATGTTAGCTCAGGGCCAATCTTCCTCACACACAAAAAAGCTGAGATTCTGACTGCAGGGCAGGACCAGGAGAGACAGCAGCTAGATGCCTGTTCGCAGAGAATTGCTCACATAATTTGTGATTAACAATAACGTACAGACAAGGATCTCTGGGTGAGCAAAGAACGCTTGCTAACCAATCATATTAACAGGCTTGGTAGGTAATTTTCTCATTTTTATCCACCTAATTTCAGTTTTGAGTTCTTCTTTAACACATTTTACAGTGGCACTTGAAAATTCTCAAGAGGACGTTCTCCTTTCTTTTCTTTTCCTTCCTTCCATCTTTTCTTTCTTTCTTTTCTTCCTTCCTTCTCCTTCTGCTACCCTTTTGTTGTAACTTTCTGATTTTATTACATTGTGATCAAAGAATGTGGCCGATTTGATTTCTGCTTTTAAAGATTTTTTTTTTGAGATTTTTGGGGGGCCTATTACGTGATCAGTTAAAAAAAATATTCTTTGGTGTTTGAGTTTTTCTTCTATTTTTAGACTTTAGGAGTACATTAGAAATGCTTTCCATGTGTTCCTATGAGGTAGAACAGTTGAAATAACATAAAAATTCTCTGCTCTTTGAAAGAGTGATAGAACTAAACTGTAATCTGAACCTGGTGTAATTTGATGAGTAGAAGTTTTAAGTTAATTTTTCATATTTTAAATTCTGGTTGTTAGCATCTTCAGGGTTTCTCACTAGTTCATGAACCAGTTTTGGCAACTTAACGTTTTCCTACAAAGCCAAGGGCAAAGTGTTTTAAACAACTTTAAAGTTATTTTATTTAATTAATTAATTTATTTATTCCCAAAGCCCCCCAGTACATAGTTTATATTCTAGTTGTGAGTGCCTCTGGTTGTGCTATGTGGGACGCCGCCCCAACATGGCCTGATGAGTGGTGCCATGTCCGGACCCAGGATCCAAACTGGCAAAACGCTGGGCCGCTGCAGCCAAGAATTCGAACTTAACCACTCGGCCATGGTGCCTGCCCCTAAAGTAATTTTAATAAAAACTATTTCAGGGGCTGGGCCGGTGGCTCAGCGGTTAAGTGCACACGTTTCGCTTCGGCAGCCCAGAGTTCGCCGGTTCGGATCCCGGGTGTGGACACGGCACCGCTTGGCAAGCCATGCCGCGGTAGGGATCCCACATATAAAAAGTAGAGGAAGATGGGCATGGATGTTAGCTCAGGGCCAGTCTTCCTCAGCAAAAAAGAGGAGGACTGGCAGCCAATGTTAGCTCAGGGCTAATCTTCCTCAAAAAAAAAATGAACTACTTCAAACCAAAAATGACGGTGCTAATTATAGGTTATCTTCATTTCATTATAGTAGTGGTTTTCAAATTGTATACCAGGAAGATATTTCAGGGATTCTTTAGAATATTAGCAAATACTTGATTCAAGTTTATTAATTTTTTAACTTACAAAATTAACAAATTCATGTTAAAATGTATCATTAACTAAATTTTAAAATACTAGAGCCCCCAGTGTGATAGTTCATGCTGTACTTGAACTCCTTTTTACGTAGACCATAGAATTAAGCCTTTCCAGTCATTTCTGTTTAATTAAACAGTATCCTGAAATTTCCAGGCAAGCTGTTTTAAATAAATTAGTACATTTATTTATCTGTGTGAGTTAGGATTTTCTTCACCTCATGAAACCAAAGAAAATAACAGAAATAAATTAGTTTCTGAAGTTGTAACTGTCCTTCATAACTCCTGATTTCAAATTTTTGTGCCAAACATCTTAATTCTTCTTTATTGATTGATTTTTGTAAGTGAGTTTTGTACATCTATAATCACACACAAATTTATACCAACAAACTAGGTTTTTTATTTATTTCATGTATTAAGAATTCTGTATAAGATCTTATATTGGAAACAAGTTCTCCTGCCTAGAAAGTTTGAAAAGCACTATTTGAGAAATATATAGCAAATAATTCGTATGTTCTTGTTTAATGGTAATTGACTGCTGTTGTCTAGAATGTTCTTAACTCTAATTTCTGAGGGGATTCTCTCTTCTCTCTCTTTCCCCAACCCTTGGCCCTGAGCACTGGACATTTTCATCCCTTTGTATCTCGTTGTCTTTTCAGAATATCTGATACAAGAACACGGCCCAGACAGTTCAGCAATGTCTTGTTCCTCTGTGGAAAATAATCCCAAGAGCCTGAGGATATCAGATGGTCCACAAGGTGATAGGCAGTGGCAAAGTGGTGACAGGGCAGCCAGCCTGCCATCTGGCCAACTCGAGGCTGGAAGGGGGCCCCAGAAGAAGCCTCAGGTCAGATCGAGAGATCAGAAGGGCTCCGAGGGCCTGGATGTGCAGGGCAAGCTGGGGGCCAGGAGTGTGACTCCTTCTTCCAGGAGAAGCCCATTCCCCGGCAAGCTGCAGGAGAAAGGGATGAATCCGGGATCCGGGGTACGCAGGAATGCCAGCTCTGCAGGAAGGCTCCAAGGAGTCTCCAGTGGGTTATTTTCTGGGTCCCCAGGAAGGAAGGAATCCAAGACACCTGAAGTAAATTTACCTTCAAGAAAGAAGCGACCCAAAAGTCTTGAATTTACCATTTCTTCAGGAGAAGGAGAACCCTTCAATCCAGAAACTCTTCTGCTTCAAGAGAAAATAAGAAGTGAGAATCCAGACTCAGGTGCCACCTCCAGTGAAGTGGCCACTCTGGATATAGGGGCTACTATGGCTCTGGAGAAACGCTCCAGGAATCCAGAACATTCCATGATCCTAGAATGGGGAGCATTCAGGAATACAGTTTCTCATGTATCTCTGGCTAGAGAGGAGAGGACTCGGGAGCATCCAGAATCCAGAGCACCTTTGGAGAAACATGGGACTGAGGATCCAGAGACCCCTGAGACCTTGGGGGAGGTGGTAGGTGGTGTGCTCCATAAGCCTTCAAATTCAGAAGTCCCTCTGTCTTCAAGTAAGAAAGGACCCCAGAATCCAGAAGACCTGGCATCCTTAGGAATGGTGACCTATGCAGGTATTCCCCCACAAACCTCCTTTTATCCCCACTGTACTTATGTTACTGGATCCCTGGGTGCCCCCCAAGGTCCCCAACCCTTTGAGAATCTGATGTAGACCATGAATCCTAAAAAAATGCACACGTGCATTTCTTCACAAAATGTTGCATCAAATTTCAGTTAGTTCTTAGATGCTCTGAAGTCCCTCTTTAGAATTCCAAGGGCTTCACAGACCCTAAGTTGAGCATCTGGGAAAGGATGGGTAAAAATATCTCCTTCTCACAATAACCCCATGGCAGTATGTCATGGGCCCAAGATTCTGCCATTCACTTCTCTCTGGGCAGGGAGGAGAGCTGCTGACTAAAATCCTAGGTCCTTTTTACTAAGGAGGAAGAAATTAGGATTATGTTGGTTTGTGAATGACAGAAACACCAAAATAAGGATAACTGAAACAAGATAGAAGGTTGTTCCTCTTTCACATAAATGACACACAGGTAGTCCAGGACAGATGTGGTACTCCATCAGGCTACTGATGTTTTTTGCCCCACCAAGTTTTCTCTCAAGCTCATGGTCTCAGATGGTGGCATCCTCATTCCAGGCAACAGGATAGAGAGACAAAGGACAATAGTATTGCTTAGAGAGTAAGTGATTCCCTTATTTCCAGAAGTTTCTAGAAGCTGCTCGTGACACCTCCAGTTACATCCCTTTGGCCAGAATGTAGTCAAATGGCCACGCCTAACTGCAAGGGAGGCTGAGAAATGTAGGTTTTCTTGGGTGAGAAAGGGAGCCAGGAAGAAGCAGCCATATGGACAGCAATCAATTCTATCACAAGGCAAGGAGGGGAGAGTGATTATGGGGTGCCTCTCACAGTCTCACAGACATGATATGAATTCCTGGGACTCTGTGAGAGGAGGAGGTGGGAAAGGACTAATGGATTGAGTGTGTTTCTATTTCTTCTTGTACCTTCTGTCATTTCTGCTTTATGAATTTGTGCTATGGTCTTGGGGCAGAGCTAGTCATAGCTGTATCATCATGGTGCGTTATGCCCTTCCGCCTTATTAAGTCCCCTTCTTGACTTTCATTTAATATTTCCTGAACCTGGATGTGAGCAGTGGTCCATCTGCTCCATTCAACACACACTTCCCAAATGCTCACCATATGTCAGGACTCTGCTAGGGGCTGGGGGTCCAGTCATGAGTGAGTCACTGCCCCCCAGGAGCCCCTGCTCAAGTCATGAGCAGCCTGGGGGCTTTTAAGCGGTAAAGCAAACACTGGTCAGAATATCTTGCTGTCTTTATATCACCTGCTAAAACAGTGTATTTGTGGGAGGAAGGCATAGAATTTATACCAAAAGGCCTTTCTTTAGGATAAATGCCCAAGAATTCCAAGTCTCAGGACTGTCATGAGATGTAGCCCTTAGCTCTCAGTCCCAGCGGCTCATTTCCTGCCTCACTGGAGGGAAGCCAGGGAAGACAAGCTAGGAAGTGGCCACAGTCTAACCAAGAACTCACCTGTCCCAGGCATAGTCTTTCTCTCTGCTGTGCTTTGTAGCACTCCTTCGTAACATCTTGGGTTTGTCACTCAGGAGATTTTTCCACTGCCATGTCACCAAGGAGGCTGCAGGACAAGGCTGTGTGTCCCCTTTGCCGCGCCCAGGAAGGAGACCCAGATGGTGGCACCTGCGTGCATGATTCCTGCAGCTGCTCCATTGCTTCTAGGAATCTCAAGGCCTCAGATGGTCACTCACCCAGCTGCCCCCAGTGCCAGGCCTCACTCCCAGGAAAGAGCTCTGGAGGCCAAGAGCGGCAGGAGGGCCAACAGATGGCCAGCCTGATCTCCAAGCCCCTGCCACAGTGTGAGCGTCACATGAACCAAGTCCAGCTGCTCTTTTGCGAGGACCACGGGGAGCCTATCTGCCTCATCTGCAGGCTGAGTCAGGAGCACCAAGGCCACTGGGTACGCCCTATCGAGGAGGCCGCCCTGGAATACAAGGTAGGGCTTCCTGCCCAGGGCCCTCCTCTGCTGGGCACTTGGACATGCTGGGGCTTGCTTCATTTTCTCAACAACTCTGGGAGGCTGGTGTATTAGCCAGCATTCTTGGACTGTAAATGGCAAAAACACAATACAAACCAGGCCAGTAAAGAGTGAATTTACCAGTTCACGTAGCTCTGAGGTCCAGGGGATGCTAGCTTCAGGTATAGCTGAATCCAGATGTTCACAGGAGGTCACTAGGAATCTCTCTAACCACCTCCTGGCTCTGCTTCCCTTGGCGTGATAGATTCATTCTTCCTCTTTCCTGGGCACCCCTTCCTATGCTCTTGGCTTCAGCATCCTTAGCTTTACTCTCCAAAGCAAATTTTCCCCTCTAGAGTTGGCACCCACTAAAGATGGCAGGAGCCAAGTTTAATCCTCAACAAGTACTCTTTTTCCAGGAGCAAATTCAGAAGCAGCTGGAGCATCTGAAGGGGTTGAGAAAATCTGGGGAGGAGCAGAGATCCCAGGGGGAAAAGACGACAGCAGACTTCCTGGTAAGGAGGGCAGAAGGAGGGAGGGGACCAAGAGTGAGCAGGGGCCCCCAAGATTCTGTTCTGGTTCATAGGGAAGTAGAGCTGATCACATATTTAGAATCATCTGTTCTTTGCTGGCAGGGAAGTAACAGGCATCCAAGGATGAGTTCGTCCCTGGAGAGGGAGACCACCCCCAGCAGGGAGGGGCATCTCCAAGGACCCTGTCATGCTTTCTTATACTCATGATGAAATGATATAGCGAAACTAGCACCAGTGGCTGTCACTGAGGGATGGGACTAAGGAAAGAGGAGGAGAGACTTTTCAGCTTTAACTACTCCTCTGTATTGTTTTTATAATTGTCTATTTTATTTTTAAAAAAAAATATTGATTTTTAAAATTCAAACGATTAAAGTGAACGTTTTCTTTAAAACCATGGTTTTGCAATGCCATGTACTTTCAGTAAGTACAACTTATTGGTCTTTCTCTGTTGAGCTGGTGTCCAGCCTCTTGGACACTAAGTTGCTTCTATTTTCCCTGCAAGTGAAGGTGACTACCCCACAGAGCCTTCATTTGTTTGATCTATGTTGGTTGTTGGATCCCGTCTCCCTCTTTGGGTTCCAGACTTCTGTTGGAACGCACCACACTGCAATGGGCAATGGGCAAAGACAACAAAGGGCAGAATAGGGGGAGGGCATTGGCCCACGTGTCTGACTTTTGGGAAGCTCCTGAATTGTAGTAAAATGAAACCCTTCCCTATAATCCCAGGTGGCTTGGGACTTGTGGCTGCAGCAGAGGTCAAGTGTGCCCGCTGAGGAGTGTGAGGCAGGAGCCTGGGCTGTTCAGGGAAACAGGCAGACAGGAGGGTCTAGCCTTCCCTTAAGATACTCATGGTGACATGGGCCCCTGTGGGAAGGAGATGCTGTTTTCAGGACTTCTCTTTCTCCTCCTCCTTTCAATAGTCAAAAAAAATTTGTTTTAATCTTAGGGAAGGGGGAGGGAAAGCTCTTCTTTACAGCAGAATGCCAGCTAAAACAAGTACAGAAGAATAATTGAATTAGAAATTTTCCATTATACAAACACCAATATAACAGTTAACACCAACAGGGATCATCAACGGATGCTAAATTTTTAGAGGAAGATGGTTAGAGAACAGGATATTTACACACTCTCAAAGTACCACTCCCTGAATTACTTAATAATTAAAACAGAAACAATGTATATTTACAGTGGAGAGCTCTGGTAGAAACCTCCTTAACCAGGTGACCAATCCTAGTATAACAATAATGGTGATGTACAAACTGGACATCCTTTGCCTCCCCATGGGATGCACCAGGAAGACCACGGCATTAAGTATATGATATTCTTGTCCAAAATGGTTAGCCTGAATTTAATCATGAGCAAAATTATCAATCTTAGAATCTAGGCCACTGAACAAGACAAGTGACCTGTCCTCTTAAAAAAGAAGTCAATGTTACCACCATCAACAACAATGAAAAGTGAGGAGACATTTTTGGTTCAAAAGAACTGGGGCTAGCCCGGTGGCGCAGCGGTTAAATTCACACGTTCTGCTTCTCTGTGGCCCGGGGTTCGCCAGTTCGCATCCCGTGTGCAGACATGGCACCACTTGGCATGCCATGATGTGGTAGGCGTCCAACATATAAAGTAGAGGGAGATGGGCATGGATGTTAGCTCAGGGCCAGTCTTCCTCAGCAAAAAGAGGAGGATTGGCAGTAGTTAGCTCAGGGCTAATCTTCCCCCCCCCCCCAAAAAAGTTTCTAGCACCTAAAATGATCAATAAATGGTACTTACTGTTTAAAAAAAAAAAAAAAAGAACTAGGGTCAGTCCTGTCCTTTTGAGCTCAAAATGATGACTTCTTAAGTCCAGTCTTAGTGGATCTGAAGTCCCCTCTCCCTCCTTGGAAGAAGGACAAGGTGCCCTAGAGCCACTTCACCTCTCCGCAGAAGGCTTCTAGTGATGATGAGAAAGAGGGCGAGAGAAGAGCTAACGGCTGACCAGTGGGCAGCGGTAGTGGAAGTTCACTTACAGTTAAATGAATGGACTGACCAGCCCCATTCAGAGCCACACTGAGAACCTCTGCTGGGGCGTGGAGAGAAGTCTCCCTCCTGGAGCCTTTGGTGGTCATAACCTTGTCCATCTATGACCTCAAGCATACGCCACCCTCACAGTGGCTTTCAAGGAAGAAAGAAGGTGACATCATTTATATTAGTGTCCTATGGCTGCTTTAACAAAGTACCTCAGACTAGGTGGCTTAAACCATGGAAATTTATTCTCTTTCAGTTCTGGAGGCTAGAAGTCTGAAATCAAAGTGTTGGCAGGGTTGCTTCTTTCTGAGGGCCACAAGAGGACATGTTCCAGGACTCTCTCCTCAGCTTGTAGATGACTGTCTTTTCCCCATGTCTCTCACATGGTATTCTCCCTATGTGTGTATCTGTGTCCAAATTACCCAACTCCAGGCCTCCCCCACTCCATATGACCTCATTTTAACTAATTACATCTGCAACAAACCTATTTCCAAAGAATATCATATTCTTAGGTACTGGGGGTTAGGACTTTAATATATGAATTTTGGAGAGAACACAATTCAATCCATTACATGAGGCTTTAGGACATTTTCCAAGAGCCAGCCCCTGCCACATTCAGTCTGTTCTGGAAGGTTCTGGCCCATTTTGCCTCCTGCCCTGGAGTCCAGGCCTCTAAAAGGCTGAGGAAGCCTGCCTCTTATCCACCTCCAGGAGGTGGCCTTCTTGGGATTCCCTGGGCATACACATCCACCTCACTGCACAGATTCCTACACCTCCCTGTGCCCTGTTCCCCAGAAAAAAACCGAAATCCAGAAGCAGAGAATCCAGTGCCAGTTGGAGCAGTTTTACCGGTTTCTGGAGGAGCAAGAGCAGCTCTTTGTGGCCTGGATGGAGGAGCTGGGCCAAACCATTGGCCAGGTCAGGGAGACACACGGCACCCAAGTGTCTAAGTACACCGCCCTTCTTGATGAGCTGATTGGGGAGCTGGAGACCAAGCAGTGCCAGCCGGAATGGGAGCTTATGCAGGTGAGTGTGGCTGGGCGTGGCCTTCCCCTGTCCACTGTGCCCAGTAGGATGACGTGGGATCCCAGCACTGCCATAACTTCTGCCCAAGCCAGTGAGTGAGGCCCTTGGGGCTGCGGGTGGGACTTGGTCTTGGTGACCCATGATGCCTCTTGTGCCAAGACCCCTTCGATGAGCTCTTAGGAGCCCAGGGTGGCCAGCATCCTGGGGATCCCCTAGCATCTCTCAGAAAAGATCAGCAGGGCTTGGGTGCAATTCCATTGCTGGTCCCAGCTGCGCTGCCACCTTTGGTGATTAGAATTGCGGAGAGGTGCCTCAGTTTTGATGACACACCAGGGCTGGGAGCCCAGGAGGAGAGGCCAGGAGTCAGCACGGCCCATAGGAGACTGGTAACCGAGAGCTCCCATCTTTTCTCTCCTAGGACATCGGAGTCACCCTGCACAGGTACCAAGAGGTCCCATGGTGTTCGCTTGGGAGTCCCGCAGGAAGCATTTGGGGAGGCAGTCCTAGGAGGGAGATATTCTCACCGCCGGTTCTGTGACTCTTCCCTGGACTCCTCCCATCTCCTGCAGCTTCCTAAGGCCTTTCTGGATTTGTGCAGGGAGAACAGAGTATGATCAGGAGGGAGAGAATGGCATTGCACATACCCGGTGTGCTGATGGTGGCTTCCTAAGAAACCTCCCTAACAGATTGTGTCCTCTGCCATTTGCCTCCTGAAAACTGTTCCTGCAGAAGTGCTTGTGGCCTCAGGGAGGGAAGCACTTTCCAGGAGTGGAGCTGCTTAGCCCAGCAGGCAGGGGAGAGGAGGGTAGGGAGGAGCCTGGACTGTTACAATCACCCCAGGAACTTTACAAAATCCTGACATCCAGGCCTTGGCAGACAAATTAAATCCGAATCTTCAGGAGTGTGACCTAGGCATCAATGTTTCTTTGAGTCTTTTTTTTTTTTTGGTGATAAAATATACGTAACACAAAATTTACCATTTTAACCATTTTTAAATGTAGGATTCAGTGGCATTAAGTACATTCACATTACTGTGCAGCCATCACCACCATCCATCTCCAGAACTTTTTCATCTTCCCAAATGGAAACCCCAGACCATTAAACAATTCTCCATCCTCCCTTCCCCAGCCCCTGGCAACCACCATTCTACTTCCTGTCTTTATGAATTTCTCTACCCTAAGCACCTCATATAAGTGAAATTATACAATATTTGTGCCTTTGTGTCTGGCTTATTTCACTTAGCATAATGCCTTCCAGGTTCATCCATATTGTATAGTGTGTCAGAATTTCCTTCCTTTCTTAAGGCTGAATAATATTCTATCATATGTATATACCACATTTTATCCATTCATCTATCAATGGACATGTGGGTTGCTTCCACCTTTTGGCTACAGTGAATAACACTGCTATGAATATTGTTTTACATGTATCTGTTGGAGTCTCTGCTTTCAATTTTTTTGGGCATATACCCAGAAGTGGAATCGCTATATTATATGGTAATTCTATGCTTAGTTTTTTGAGAAACGAACATACTATTTCCCACAGTATCTGTACCATTTTACATTCCCACCAGTAATGCACAAGAGTTCCAATTTCTCCACATCCTTGCTAACACTTATTTTTGATTTTTTTAAAAATAATAGCCATCCTAATGAGTGTGAAGTGGTATCTCATTGCGTTTTTTTCTCGTTTAATATCATTTTTATTTCAATAGAAAAAGACTAGGTTAGTGTAATTAATTTGACATAGATAATTCTTGGCTGAGCATGTCAATATCAGCACCATTTTAAGGCCATTATTAAAACTCATTGTGGTTTTGATATCAGTGGTTTTTAAAACTTCCCATGTGATGCCAATTCGTGGCCAAAGTTGAAAGCCAGTGTTTAGAACTCACAGTCCGGGGAGGGCTTTCTTTGTGAAGCCCAGGCAGGGCTGGGTGTGCCCTGTGGAGGCTGCACCTCGCTTCCAGCTCATGGGAGCTTGGGCCGCCTCCATGCTCCAGCCCTCTGGCCAACAGTCTTTTGTCTCTAGGGCCAAGATGGTGACTGTCCCTGAGCCGTGGGCCACCCCTCCAGAGGTGAAAGAAAAGCTCCACCTGCTCTACCAGAAATCAGAGTTTGTAGAGAAGAGCATGAAGCACTTCTCAGGTAGGTGGGCTTGGGGGAAGATGGGAGGTTCCTGCTTGCTTCCTCCCTGATATGCAAGTAGCCTACAGGCCCCTAGTGTCCCTTCTCCATCTCCCACAGCCCTTCTGACTCTGCCTTTAGCCTCTCCCTGATCTGTCCTCAGCTGGGGGACCTAACTCAAGCTCCCTTTCTCCTTTTAGAAACCTGGCGTTCAGAAATGGAAACCTTCAATGGTGAGTATGGTGGTGGTAGTATGTGCTGGCTAGGCGTTATTGTGATATTCCCTTATGCTGTTGATTTCTGGGCATTATCTAGAAGAGAGAAAAACACCTGTAACAAAGGCAGGAGAAAGGTCATGACAGGCCCTCATAAGCTCTGTGTTGGACTCGTTGGCTGGGTCAGCTCATCAGACTTCAGAGTCTCCAAGGCAGATCCAAGGGCCTTGGAGGAATGAGGTTATATCCAAGGAGAAGAAGTAGGGTCCTGAGCAGGAGAGTCCTCGTCTTTCCTTGTGGTGGGGACCAGAGTAGATTTTGTCCCCCTGAATGGGAATCTCAGGATTTTTTCCCCTATCTCCTCTTTCTTTGTAGTTCCAGAACTGATTGGTGCTCAGGCACCCTGAGGAGAGTGGCCTTGGCCTGCTGTATCCTTGTGCTGTCCCCCAGTATGTTCCAGAAGAATGGCCCTGTCCATGTTTCCTGGAGGCAGGGAGAACCCCGTGGGGATGTTGCCCATGGACCCCAGCTAGGTATTCTAATTCTCTCTGCAGTTAATGTAATTCTGGATGTAGAAACCAGCCGCTCCAACCTCATCTTCCATCTACTCTGATGACTTGAAGAGTGTGAGACCTGGAAACAAGTGGGACCGTCTGCCTGACAATCTGGAAAGATTCGATAGCTGCATCATCACCCTGGGCTCTCTGAGCTTCCTTTCCAGCCGCTATTACTGGGAAGTGGGGGTGGAAGACAAGACAGGGTGGGTCCTGGGCATTTGGAAGGCGTCCATGAGCAAGAAGGGAGCAGGACTGTGTCACCAGAGAATGGCTACTGGGTGGTGATGATGACGAAGTGAAACGAGTACCAGGCATCCATTTTTCTCCCAACCTGCCTGTGGATGAGGGAGCCCCCCCAGGCATGTGGGCATCTTCCTGGACTACAAGGCTGGAGACATTTCATTTTACAATATGATAGACAAATCCCACATCTACACAGTCACCGATTTCTCTTCCTCTGGGCCCCTTCAACCTATCTTCAGCCCCAGGACACAAGACAGAGGGAAAAACATGGATCCTCTGGCCACCTACCCAGTGGGGTCAGGGGACCCAGTAAATGCCCAACACTTCACATCTCTCTTCTAGCTCCTGGCCTTGTATCTTGAATTCATACACTTAACAGACATTATTGAACACCTACTGGGTTCCAGCTGCTGTGGGGAATATAATAAATAAGAGAACAGTCTCTGTGCCCAAGGAGCTTATGGAATAGTTGCAGAAGTAAGCTAGGTATGCAAATATTGGTAAACCAAAGGTGAAGAGAACACATGAACTGATGACATGCCATGGATTTCAGAGGAGGAAGTATGTGGCTGTTACTTAATAAATCCTAGTATGAATTAGCACCCTAAGATGCTCCTGCAGAGATCCCACCCTCATTTTCTCTCAGGACCCCATGGCAAGGTTATGTCCCTTCATTCTATCCTCCCCTGTCTTGAGGACTTGGGAAGCCTAGAGGAAAAACAAGCAGACTGGACTGTTACAAAATATTTTTGTACCTGGATTAATGAACTACGGTTCTTCAGAGTATTGGCTGGGCCTCATAAGTAAATCACTTAGAAAATTTGGTCATCATTGCATTTGTTGTCACTCAGTTGATCACTGTGAGATCCCGTTTCCCTACTGAACACCATGAAAGAGATGGGGCTGCCGGAGTGGAAAACCATTTGACACATATTCCAAGTGTCAGATTATTCTGTCCTGATCTGTATCTGAAAAACCTGTGGGCCTGTGGAATATTAGGTGTTCTGGTTTACAGAAGCCCTCTCTGTCATCCTCCATTTAGAGAGATGTAAAGAGAAGGGACGTAAGAAAACAAAAAGAATCAAATGAAGATTAAACTCCAACTCCTCTCTCCGTCTTCAGACTAGAACCTAGATTGGACTCAGGTTCTCCATAGTTGTTACCAGAGCATGAAACACATGCTTTGCTTTCTTCATGGAGCTTTGTTCTACGTGCATAATCCACATGCCGACACAGTTCATATGCCCAATTTGCTTAGCTGTTCCCTATGGTTTGTCATTTGTTACCCCCAATTCTTCCTTGCTATAACCTTTCCATGAACAGCTTCATGTATATTTCCCACCACCTGCCCATACACATATTTTTCTCATATTATTTCTCATATTATTTTCTCATATTACTACATATTATTCCTAAAATGGTTCCAGAATGTGAACTATTTGATAGCACTTGCTATAGCTGGTCATACAGTCCTTCAGAAAGACTGAAAAACGTTTCATGCCCAAAGCAATGTTTGTCATTTAAAAATCTGTGCTGACTTAATGCAGATATAGTGGGGTTTGACCTGTGTTTTATTTCATTACCTGTTAGTGAGGCTGTGAATTTTTTCATGTGAATTTCTACTTTTTGCTTCATTATGCAGAAATAGTACAGCTCTTTTGATTATTTGTTATGTGGAATCTAGATAATGAACTTAGTTGTTTGTAATGCTTCTTCATAAATATTTTAGATACTAAACATTTGTATCTGTAAGATGAAATTTTACCTGTCTGGTGGTTTTTTAAAAATTGAGATATAATTCACATATCATAAAATTCATCCTTTTAAGGTGTACAATTAAGTGGGTTTTGGTATATTCACAGTGTGTACAAACATCACCACTAATTCCACAACATTTTCATCATCCCCAAAACAAGCCTTGCATCCCTTAGCAGTCACTTGCCCTTCTCCCCTCCTCCAGCCCCTGGCAACCACTAACCTACTTTTTGTCTCTATGGAATTGCCTATGCCGGACATTTCGTGTAAGTAGAATCATACACCATGATGGTCTTTTGTGACTGGCTTCTTTAGCTTAACATAATGTTTTTAAGGTCCATCCATGTTGCAGCATGTATCAGTACTTCATTCCTTTTTTATTGATGAGTAATAATCCATTATATAGACCACATCTTGTTTATCCATCATCAGTTGATAGACATCTGGGTTGTTTCTACTTTTCAGCCATTATGAATAATGGTGCTATTCATATGCAAGTTTTCCTGTGGACATATGTTTCCATTTCTCGTGGATTTATACCTAAGAATGGAATTGCTGGATCATAGGGTTAGTCTATAACATTTTGAGAGACTGTCAAACTGTTTCCAAAGCGGCTAAGCATCTTTTCAAATGTCAATGACCATTTAGTTTTTCTCCTCTGTGGAATGACTTTATAGTCTTTGCCTTAGTCTTTGTCACTTCGCAGGAACTCTTTGTGTGTTGGGAATGTCTAATTCTTTATCTGGCTTATCTTTTACAACTATTTTCCAGTCTACTAGTTTTTGACTTTATTAATATTGTTCTTAAAAATTAAAAAAAAATAAAGTCACTCAGGTTTATATTTTATTTCAAGGCATCTCGGTTTTCTGTTTTGCCTCAACATCAAATGTAACGTTCTCTTAAGTGTTCTTTTACTGGTTATTAAATTCCACTTTTTGTGTGTAGTATAAGGACGGGAGTCTTTTTCCCCAGAAGAACAGATAATTTTTGCTAGAACCATCTATTTCATACTAAGTTGAAATGCTACCCTTTCACGCAGATCCGTCCACATATATTCAGATCCATTTTGGCACTTACTGTTCTTTTCACTGTTCTATTTATTTACCCCAAGTTCAAACCATACTGCATTAGAGGAGTTTTGTTTTGTTTTTAGTAATTTTAATGTCTGGAAAGGCAGGTATTCTTTATTTTTTAAAAATCTTTGGTGCCACACAGTTTCGACACTAGTCTCTTTATAACATTTTAAGCCACGGGTAAGTGAGTCACCTACAGTTAGCATTAAGAAAAGGCATTCATTTCTATTTTTACTTTCGTCATCCCGCCAGAGACTGGCGTTTCATAGAGGAATAATGTAATCCCTGCCCTTGGGCAGTCCCAATCCTGATCAGTGCCTCACTGGAGAATGAACCGAGTATGGGAACAATACAGAGAAAAAGACGCTGTTAGGCGTCGGTGAGAGGCTGAAACTGAGGACGGAAACGGAGATGGTCGGAGGACGACCAGGGTTTCTTATAAAAGAAGATGGCCGGTCCAGACCGCAGCATAGAAGCTGGCAAGCAGAGGAGGGGAGGGTCGCCGGCTCTAACCTACGGGCCGCTACTGTCGTAAGGGACGGCTCTAACAGGACCCACGACCAGGCAGAGGTCTAGAACCACCCACTGGCAACCTCCGCAGTCCTGTAACCCACCCCAGACGCGGCAGCGGAAACTGCTGCAGCCTCCGTAAACCTTCCGGTCCCAAAGACAATCCGCTTCCGGTCGAGCCTAGGCCCTGCCCCGCCTCAACCGCCGCGCCTAGTGGTCTCCCATTGGCTGTTTGGAGCCGAACTACATTTCCCAGCAGGCCCTGAAGTTTGACAGTTCGTACCTGGAGTGGTGCCAGCCCGTCATGGAGGACTGGAGGCTGCCTTCTGCTTTCCATCTCCCAGGTAGAACCACAGAGAGAGCGGCTGCCGTCAGCCTAGCCTCCCTCCGGCCCTGAGAGCTCCGCCGGCCGGCCTCGAGCCTCGCCTTCTCAAGCGCAGACTGCCCGCTCCGAGTGGGGAGACCAGGCTTCCGCACCGGAAACGGGGCACCGGGCGTGACGTCACGGCAGCCAAGGCGTTCGGCCTCCCAGAAGGCACCGCGTCCTCGCCGTCCTCCCTAACTGACGGCGGCGCACACCAATAGTCGCTCGCAGCCTGTGAGGACGCTGGGAAGGGCGAGGGGAGGGCTTGGCTTCTCGCGCCTAGTTTCCTGGTCGCTCCCCGAGCCGGGTCTCTGGGCCATCCTCAGCGAGCGCCCAGGGGCGACAGGGCCCCCGAGAGGTGAGGGGCTCCGCGAGGGCGGGAACCAGGCTGAGGTGGCCTCTGGGGAGCGGAGCGTGGTCTGTTGCCGGGGGAGCCTGGCCAGATAGGGATCCGGGAATGCGCCCCAGGCAGTGCCGCCGGGGCGCGGTAAAGGTGCCCCTTGGCCGGTGGGAGAGTCTCCAGAGTGGGCCTGGCCTGGTGGGATGTTCCCTGCCGCTCTCAACAGCGCATTGACGGCAGAACAGAGTCAGCAGGCCTTGTGTGGTCACCTCATGCGGCCTTGAGTTTGCTCTTTGAGCCATCAACTGCTCCCTGAAGGGCATCCGAGAGACTTGCGGTCCAAGGGGCGCAGTACGGCCAGATTCAGTGGCCAGGCTGACTTCTAAGCAGATACCCTCGGTGTTGGACCCCAGATTTCATGTCTTCTAGCCCATTTCTCTTTCCACCCGCCTAAGTTAAAACACTCTTCCCAGTGGTGTTTGCACTTCATATTTCTGGGAGGCTGGTCCTTTGTCTTCTGCCGACTGCCTGCGCTCCCTTCCGTTTGGCCCTTGAGGTTTGTACATTCTTTGGCTTTCGTTCTCAGGATCTTCCTTTCAGGCCGTGCTAAGAGTATCTGGTTCAGGGACCTTACTTTTCAGTTATGAGTTTCCTACCTCAGCTTATCTTTCCATTCTGATTTAGATCTCATGTGGTCTCACTACCCAAGCCACCTATGGGAGGGCAGCCATGCCCTGCCTGATCTTGTGGCTAACCCATGGTTTCTCTCATCTGCAGCTTGGTTATCTCCACAGATTTCCTTCAGTAAGAAGTGGCTCTCGAAGCTCTGCTGAAACAAGTGTGGTGTGTGATCTCAAGGTGTGATGGCTGCAAAAGTGGTTCCTATGCCCCCAAAGCCAAAGCGGTCTTTTATTTTGAGAGTTCCTCCAGACTCCAAGCTGGGCCAAGACCTACTTCGAGATGCTACTAGTGGGCCCAAGACCATCCACCAGCTGGTTCTGGAGCACTTCCTTACCTTCTTGCCCAAGCCAAGCATGGTCCAGCCCAGTCAGAAAGTCAAGGAGACCTTGGTTATTATGAAGGATGTGAGCTCAGACCTTCAGAACAGAGGTAAGAAGGAGGTGCTGTTTCACTAGAAGAGAAAGGAATGGTACTGGGGGCTGAGATAGACTTCCATGTTAGTAATGGTTCAGGATGGTAGATAATTGCAAAAAGGAGTTGATTCTAATAGGTCAACAAGTTGGGGAGAGGGAGTGTTTTTTCTCAAGCTGGAGCTTGTGCGGTTTGCTGGGTGTGTGTAAGGCCATAGAATAAACAGTGCGCATCTTTTCGGTAGTGTCAGTTTTACACAAACATTTGCAGGGCAGGGCATATATCTTTTTAGGATAAGGAAATGTAAGTAAATTATTGAATTGACTTCAGTTTATGTGGAATTTTGGAAATTTTGTGTTTGCTGTGGGTATCTTCAGACTATCTTCTCCTAACCTTCTCTCTAGTAGTAATGGGAATAGTAAAAGGTGCTTAGGGAAATCATTCTTTTAATAATGAGGAGACCCCATATAGGTTTGAGACCCTGTGGTTTATGGCTTGATCTCTCACTGGACTCACAGGAGCAGAAAAAGCCATCAGTTTCCTGCAGAAGGAATGAAGACATTCTGGTCTAAAGGTGTGGGTAGAGTCTCCATAGTAGAGTCACTGACTTTTCCATTAACTGCAGCTTCCTCTTTCCCCAGTGCAACCTCATCCCTTAGTGAAGCTTCTGCCCAGAGAAGGAATCCGGCAGAAACAGGAGACGGTGTCTCTGTGTTTAAAAGATAAGCCTGAGGTGGGTTCAGTTTTCCCGTTCACTGTTTGAGTGCACCTCCTTCTCTGCTCTTGCAGCCCTCCCTCTCAGCCACCTTGTATTAAAACACACTATTGGGAGTCAGCAAGGAGAGTGGGCTTGTTCATCACTGCCTCCTTGGATGTTTGTCCTCTGCTTTTCCTTTAGCTCCTCTCTGAGCCTGGCTTTCTTGTCTGTGCTCCACGGCATGGAACTTACAGATCCCTTTTGCCATCCCTACCTTGATCTTGGGTCTAAGTCTTTCTTACCAGTAGGGCTGTCAAGCAGCTTCTGTTATTAAGAGGAGTGGGACGTGTTGCTCTTTTAGGAGCTGATGGTCTTTGAGGATTTGAATGTATTTCACTCCCAAGAAGAATGTGTGAACCTGGATCCTGTCCAACAGCCCACCTCAGAGAAGGAAGGAGACAGTGTTGGGGAGATGATGCTACTCGGTAAGAAAATCAAGTCCCTCGTGTGTTCAGATTGAATGCTATGTTCTTCTGCTTCATCTCAGACTTTTTCAAGACATTATTCACACCACCTAAGCACATGTACACACACACGTTTAATTTTTGTTTTATCCCCTCTGGCAGAGCCTGCTCCAGCTGGGGGTAGTCATTTTCCCTGTATCTTGAGGGCTGCAAGGGTAGAGTGGGGGGAACTTCTCTTGGTAAGCAAACCTGTGGCTAATGTAGTAATATCAAACATTCAAACAGAAAATGCAGGCACACTGTTTCTGAATCCATTTTGTGGATTCAGTGCTATTCTCCCGGTAGGTATATTTTAAATTAGCGCTTTCATTGGACACATGACTAACTCTTTAAGTCTTTTGTTTCCTTGATGTTCAATAGCTATGAAGCCTACAAGCCTAAGTGAATTCCAACAGTGGAATACACTGTTGATGGAAATAATATCTAGTACTTATTAAGCACTTGCATGCCATTATGTGCTAGGCACTAGTCTAAGTACTTTGCATGCATGTATCATCTTATGTCACTCTCACAATAGTACTGTGGGGTAAGGAATTATTGCTATTTTATAGGTGATGTAACTGAAGCAGAGAAAAGTTAAGAAATTTGCTAACGGTCATACATCAGTAGGTAGTGGAGCAGGGATTTGGATTTAGACTCAGGGAATCTAACAGAAGAGTTTGCAGTCTTGGCCCAGAGCTATACTGCCTCCTTGCTGCATTTCTCATAATTTTGTCAGAGAATTTCCTATATGGTTGGTGAATGGGGCCTTCTTCATGTGTACTCATTTCCCAGTAATGGTTAACAAGTGCCCTCAGTACTAATATGAACTTATCTTGCAGCAGCTTCTCTCTAAGCTGCTTAGAGATGCTTCAGTTTTTCTCTAGAAATATGCTGCTACCCCAGAGTCAGGAGCCCTCAAAAATCATTTTGCTGAGTGCCTAATACTTTTTACCTTGCCATCAGGGCTGTTTGCTTCTGAGGCTGAAGTGGAGCAAAGAGTAGATTTTGTGAGTTGCCTGGAGTGACAAATGTCCATAATGACTATTGAACTCTATAGTTGTCTTACACCGTATGGTCAGGGTTGTGGTACATAATGGGCATGGTTGATTTCCCATAGATTATTCTATGTAATGTTTTATTTATTTTAGGGAAAAGTATAAGCAGATCAGATTTTTTACGCTGAGTCTTGAGCAAAGCTAGCCATTTGTTTTGGGTGACTGGTTGGTGGGTATGTTGCCAACTCCAGGACCACTTTGGCCATGAACCTTGAGACCTAATCCTCACCCTTCCCTTGCCCATACCCAGAAGCTGATGATTTAAGCCTAGAGTCATTCACCAACATTTAATAAATGCTACTTGTTTTTTCATCTGGCAGGGCTGGGTTCTGGAGTTGATATTCAGTGTGTTAAAAAGATACATAATGCTCCATTCCTACCCTCCAGGAGCTTCCAATTTGTTTTGTAAGATAAGTCATTCACATAAAGAGATAAGCAGTGTGAAACGTATAGCTCTAAAAAGCTATGACAAGGTCAAGGCAGGATTTAGACACAGGAGCAGAGTTTGGAAGAAGATGGATTTGATTTTAGATGAGATTGGATCCATGGCAGGAAATATGAGATTATCCTCTGAGCACTTGGCCTTTGGGGATTGGAGGTCACATGTAAGGACATAGAGATTTGGGGGTCATAAGCATAGAGCTGATAGTTGAAATAGTAACATTTGGTCAGTTTGCAAAGGGGAAAGTATAAAGGAATGAACCTCGTAGGGACAGAAATAAAAGGAGAGCCCTTGACAGAGGAGGACAGAATGTGTCTCAGTCCAAGTGAACCACGTGAAAACAACTGAAAATGTAGAACACTTAAACAAATCCTCAGTGAGATAGTTGTTATGGTTATGCCTGCCCTCTACTGTGGTAAGAGAATATGCCTTCTCAAGATGGATGCAAATTGACCACATACTATGCGACAAAGACACGTAGATTCCAAAAAGTAGAGATAATACCAAGGGATCTATCACAATGCAGTACAGCGAGAAATTAATAAATCAGAAAAAAAGTTCGTTCCACCTCGACATTTTAAAACTGTTAAGTAACCTTGGGTCAAGGGGAAAATACAAATTAAAATTGCATAATTTTTCTAGAAAACACTATATATCAGAATCTATGATTTAACCTAAAGTGGTACTCAGAAGAAAATTCGTGGCTGAAAAAACATGTTGAAAACATATTCATTAATTTAGAAAAATGAAAGTAATTAAACCTCTGACTCAAAGTTAGGAAAACAACAAGGTAAAGGAAAGCAAAGTATTAACAAATACATAACTAGAAGTCAATAAGTTAAAAATAGAAACAACAGAGGGACTAATAAATAGATTTTTCCATATAGGAAATTGAAATTGTCAAAAAACTAGCCCCCTCCCCAAGAAAAGGGACCAGTCTCTGTCACAGAAAGTTCTTGTAAATCTTTAAAAATTAGACAGTTCAAATGCTATGAAAACTTCCAGAGTATACAAAAAGAAGGAAAACTTCCACCAAATTCTTTTAATGAAATTAGTGTAACAAAGATACCATAACCTGATAAAAACTGCCATGACCAAATAAGATTCCAGGAATGCAAAAATGATTGAATAATAGTCTATTAATATAATCCATCTTAAAATAAAAACAAAACTCCTATAATCATTTTCATATTTATTGATAGATATTTAACAAAATACAAACCCCTTCATAAGAACACTTAACAAAATAGTAATTAATGGATATTTCCTTAACTTATCCTTTCAGCCAGCATCGTCTTTAACAGGAAACACTTGGAGGCATTCCCCCTAAAATGAGGAATGCAGCAGTGAAGCCCAGTGTCACTACTAATATTTAATATTGTGTTTCAGGTATTAGCCAGTGCAGTTAAATGAGAAAGAAATTATTTCTATAAGAATTTAAGAGAAAGATAAAATTACATCTATTTACATATGATATAATGCAAAATTTCCCCTGGAACTAGACAATCTGATCTCATATTCAAATGGAAAAATAAATATGAGTAACTAGGAAAATGGAGAAGAGCAGTGGGGTGGGAAGGGTTCTAGTATATCAGCTGTGAAAGGAACCTCTAAAGCTGTCTTCGGGGCTGGCCCCATGGCCGAGTGGTTAAGTTCACGCGCTCTGCTGCAGGTGGCCCAGTGTTTCATTGGTTCAAATCCTGGGCACGGACATGGCACTGCTCATCAAACCACACTGAGGCAGTGTCCCACATGCCACAACTAGAAGGACCCACAATGAAGAATATACAACTATGTACTGGGGGGCTTTGGGGAGAAAAAGGAAAAAAATAAAGGCTTTAAAAAAAAAAAAGCTGATGCTGTAATAATTGGCTTAAAGCTGTCTTAGGAAAACTTGTGGTATCGGCATGTGATCAGACAGACCAATGAGATGGAATAAGAAGTCCCAAAATAGTCTCAAATACACAGGAGGATTTAGTTTATGATCAAGTTAGAATTTCCAATCAGCAAGGTAAAAAGGGACTTCTTTTTTTTTTTTTTTTTTTTTTTTTGCTGAGGAAGATTAGCCCTGAGCTAACATCAGTGCCCATCTTCCTCTACTTTATATGTGGGACACCTGCCACAGCATGGCTTGCCAAGCAGTGCGTGGGTCCACACTGGAATCCGAACTGGCAAACCCCAAGCTGCCAAAGTGGAAGATGCAAACTTAACGGCTGTGCCACCAAGCCAGCCCCCATTCTTCCTCTTTCTTTGCTTGAGGAAGATTAGCCCTCTGCTAATATCTGTGCTAGTCTTCCTGTATTTTGTATGTGGGTTGCTGCCACAGCATGGCTGACAAGTAGTGTAGGTCCACGCTCGGGATCTGAACCCAGGCTGCAAAAGTGGAGCACATGGAACTTAACTACTATTCCATGGGGCTGGCCCCTGAAAAGGGACTTTTTGTTAAAAGGTGTTGGGACAACTCAGTAGCCATTTGATGAATCATACCTTACTTTGCACACCAAGTAAAACTCCAGATGGATCAAAGATTTTAAGTATTAAAAAAATAAATAAAATAAAAGCACAATTAGAGAATATGAGTGGATTCTTTTTTTAGATTTTTATTTTTCCTTTTTCTCCCCAAAGCCCCCCCGGTACATAGTTGTATATTCTTTTAGTCGTGGGTCCTTCTAGTTGTGGCATATGGGATGCCGCCTCAGCATGGCTTGATGAGCGGTGCCATGTTGGCAGCCAGGATCCGAACCAGCAAAACCCTGGGCCACCAAAGCGGAGCACTTGAACTTAATCACTCAGCCCTGGAGCTGGCCCCTGGGTCCCCTTTTTTTATAACCATGGGATAGGAAGGTTTTTCTAATTAAGACTCAAAAGTCTAGAAGTTTTGAAAGAAAAGATATATTGAATACATCAAAATAAAAAAATTCTGTATGGCAAAATAAAAAATATATAAGCAAATAAAATGCAATAAATGGGAAATATTTACAACTCATATCAGACAAAAGCCTAATCTTCCTAATTTATAAAGAGCACCTAGAAATAGGGAAGAGAAAGAGCAACAGATTCACTTGGGAATACAAATTACCCTTAAACACATGAAAAGATGTCCAGCCCTACTTACAATTAGAAATGCAGATTAAGGGGCCAGCCTGGTGGCGCAGCGGTTGAGTTTGCACGTTCTGCTTCTCGGCAGCCTGGGGTTTACTGGTTCGGATGCCGGGTGTGGACATGGCACCACTTGGCAAAAGCCGTGCTGTGATAGGTGTCCCACCTATATAGTGGAGGAGAATGGGCATGGATGTTGGCTTGGGGCCAGTCTGCCTTGGCAAGAAGAGGAGGATTGGTAGTAGTTGGCTCAAGGCTAGTCTTCCTCCAAAAAAAAAAAAAAAATGCAGATTAAACCTCTACTGACTTACCATTTTTTTTTAACCTGTCAGATTATGGGAATCAGAAACTTACACTGGTGGTGAGGTAGTTAGGAGACAGTCTGTTGCTGGTGGGCATGCAGCATGGTATAGTCCCTCCATCTGGGAATCTGTAATTACCCATGTTACAGATGTGTTTACCCTTTGATCCAGCAGTCCCACCTCTGGGAATCTGACTTACAGATAATAGCCATGGCACACATTCAAAATAATGTACAAACAAGGTTATTCATCGTGATATTCTTTGTAAAAAACACAAGGATGAAAACAGTCTGTGTGTGTCGGCAGGGGACTGGTGGAATATGGTGTGTCCATGTATCATACCATGATAATCTCTGTGCACTGGAATATAGCGATTGAAATGAAGTAAGTAGCAGAAATATACACAGTATACTACCTTTTATATAAGAAAGGGGAGAAAAAGGAAATGTATTGTCTAAAGAAACAACAGAAGAATAAAAAGAGACTACTGGCATACCTCAGAAATATTGAGGGTTTGGTTCCAGACCACCACAATAAACCGAATATTGCAATAAAGCAAGTCATGAATTTTTTGGTTTCCAAATGCATATAAAATTCATTTATACTGTAAATACAGTCAGATTCAAAAATTTTTAAAAAGGTAGAAATGGATATTCTGGCTGGTTTTACCAACATTAGACATGTTTCAAACAATAACACAGTGTGATACTGAATTCCAAATGTATTGGAGTTAACCATAAAAATAAATCATAAAAGAATGGCCAAAAAACAGAGTAGAAATTTATCAGATTTTGAAAGACTGGTATTTTTTTTCTGGTTTCAAGTTATAGAGTTATAGAGGAAGACTTCAATTAAAAAATATTTACCTCGGGGCTGGCCCAGCGGTGTAGTGGTTAAGTTTGCACACTCTGCTTTGGCAGCCCTGGGTTCATGGGTTCAGATCCTGGGTGCAGACCTACACACTGTTCATCAAGCCATGCTGTGGTGGTGTCCCACATATTAAATAGAGGAAGATTGGCACAGATGTTAGCTCAGGGCCAATCTTCCTCACCAACAAAGTAAAATTAAAAAATTAAAAAAATATTTACGTCAGTAGTGACTGACAAAGAGAATAAGATTTGGAATATATGAGATTTCTTTAAATTTATAAAAGTCCCACCCAATAGATAAAATTACTAGTTTGAAATAAAGTGCAAAATAAAGCTACAATGAGAAACCATTTTGTATCTACTAAATATTTTTAAATTTTATCTAATGCTGGCAAGATTAGTTAAAATTGATATCCACATGTTGATGGTTGTATTGAAATTGGTACATCTTCTTTGGAAAGCAGTGTGGCAGTTCATATCAAGAGCTGTGGGGGCTGGCCCTGTGGCCGAGTGGTTAAGTTCGTGTGCTCTGCTTCAGTGGCCCAGGGTTTCACCAATTTGGATCCTGGGCACGGATGTGGCACCACTCATCAGGCCATGCTGAGGTGGCATCCTACATGCTACAATTAGAAGTACCCACAACTAAAATATGCAACTATGTACTGGGGGGATCTGGGGAGAAAAAGCAGAAAAAAAAGAAGACTGGCAACAGTTGTTAGCTCAGGTGCCAATCTTAAAAAAAAAAAGGCGTAATAAAAATTGGCATATTCTTTGACCCAGCATTTTCATTATCCTAAGGGAATAATTGAAATGGATAATTACAAAGAAAAACTCCATTGGTGTGAAACTGCTAAATACAGCAGAAATTCACATTCCAGCTTCAAGATCAGCCAGATATCTAAGTGGTTGATTTAACTCTTTATTTTCAGTAAGTTGTCCAGAGTATAGGGGTCCCTTGTCACCCCACCTGTTCACAGCATACTTTTTTTCCACTTTGTTACCTAGTCGTTATAATCTGTTATTTCACTCACTTTTTTTGGTAGTATAATATAAATACAGAAAAGTCTACAAATCATAAGTGTAGGGCTCACCTTTTAACAAAATATACACATCTGAAACTGCCACCCAAAATTGACTATTCCTAGCACCCCAGAAATCCCTCTTGTGCCCCCTGCACAGCCACTACTCCTCTTCTTCCCCCAAAAAGACCACCATTGACTTCTACCATAGTTTCATTTTATCAGTTGTAGTAATCACTTTAATCCCCAAATAGTAATCCATTTGTGAATATGGTATGCCTTGTTTTTGGTCATTTGAATTGTTTCTGGTTTTTCACTATATAGAATATTGTAGTATTATCTAATGCTATACTATTATAATATTTAATGTAGTGAAAACCTGGAAGTAACTCATCTTACTGTTCACTTACTGGCCTCCTAAAGATTATGACCAGTATCCTTGGTACTCTTTAGTATTTATGTTCTGCAACACCTAGTGCTTAGCTCAGTGCTCTATACAGAATATAAGGTCAGTATGAACTTGGTGAGGGACTAATTTGTGCCTATTCAGAAAACAAACATGAAGTCTTTCAGTCCCATTCATTTCATTTTTTAAAAAAGTCAAAAGACTGTGTGCTTACATTGTGGGGTATGGAAAGATTTATCAGTCATGTATTCCACCCTTAATAAGAGTGGAAGAGGAGTGGTGATGGCAGTTATTTGCTGGTCCTCAGATTTCTGACTTTCAAGGTTATTGTTTCATGAGAAATCTGACTTGTTTTTTCCCACCTGGTGTCATATCCCTCAAAAGTTATTAAATGCTCTCTGTTTTCAGCAGTCAATGACAGTAATCCTGAGAGTGAAGATTTTCAGAAGGAACCTGTAGAGAATAAAAATCATACAGAACAGTTTTCAGATTGTGATAAAATGGATTGTTCCATGGTCTCTGAGCAACTTCCAGATTGCCATAAAGAAGAAAGACTAAATACATCCATTCCAAAGGAAAGGAAAATGAGAAATCTTTTAGTTACCATTGAAAATGATACTCCACTAGAAGAACTCTCAAAATATGTGGATATCAATGTTACTGCACTTACCCGAAATCGAAGAACACGAAGATGGTACACTTGTCCACTGTGTGGAAAACAGTTTAATGAAAGTTCTTACCTTATTTCCCACCAGAGGACTCACACTGGAGAAAAACCCTATGACTGTAGTCACTGTGGGAAAAGCTTCAATCATAAAACAAACCTTAATAAACATGAGCGAATCCATACAGGAGAGAAACCTTATTCGTGTTCTCAATGTGGGAAAAACTTTCGTCAGAATTCTCATCGGAGTCGCCATGAAGGAATCCATATAAGGGAGAAGATATTTAAGTGTCCGGAGTGTGGGAAAACCTTCCCAGGGAATGAAGAATTTGTGCTTCATCTGCAGAGTCATGAGGCTGAGAGGCCATATGGTTGCAGAAAATGTGGGAGAAGATTTGGTCGGCTGTCAAACTGTACCCGGCACGAAAAAACCCACTCAGCTTGTAAGACCCGAAAGCAGAAGTGTGATCGGGAAAGGTCTGATGGTCCTACCTCAACCTGAAATGTTTCGTAAGGAATTCGGAATTCCCAGGCTGTCTGAAAAGATAGAAATATGTGAAAACCTCATTATAGCCAAATTTGGATAAATGCCCATTTTGGCTAAAACCTCAAATTTTTAGAAAATTCACAAAGAAGAAACACATCCTCAAGGGCTATACCTCAGTTAGCAGCCAGGCTTTTTGGACTAAGGAGCTTTCTTTTGTGAACTTACACAACAGTGTATAGGTCACAAATCCCTTTCGGGGGAAAGGCTTTGAATGTGAGTCTGGAGGCTGCTTACTTGCAAGGTGAACAGAGTGACTTGTGTACTGAAAGTATGTCCATTTTTCTCCCAAATAGGAATTCACACCTGAGAAAAGAGAAATAATGCCAAGGTCCTTATCTGGGACTGTGTTCCCCTGAAAGAACCAAACTACTGATAGGTTAAGCCAACAGCTTCTATTAGCAATTCATATAACCCTCTAAGAACATCCTGTTAAAGCTTGAGTGTTGAAAGGGATTGTTTACTTTGGAATATAGAAGAATACAGCAATTGAATGTCAAAGACTTACTCTGTCATTTGTATGTGATCTAAACTAACAATTTCAGTAATATTTGCAATTTGTGGTGAAAAGTGACTATTTTACAGAAATCCTTTTCAGAACATAATTTAAAAATGTCTACTCTTCTTACTGTATTTTGTTCAGCTATAATGGCTCAAACAGCTCTCTCATGCCTTTTCCTTGCTGAAAGAAGTTTGGATTGCTCAGGCCTGGCCACCCAGCCCCACTACTAGAAAAGCTCTTCAGAATCTTGGCCCTCTGCTGAGCCAAGAAGACACCTGCTAGGAAGGAAACTCAAAGAGCCTGAAGAGGAGGAGAAAGAGGTTGGCTTGGCTCCATGGCTGGTCAATAACCTTACCACATACTTCATTCCCCTCTAAGCAGTTATCAGACCTTTGGCAATGGGTGGTCACTACCTCACAAGCAGAGTGTTTTATTTTTAGAAATTATGTCTCCAGTGGCTAGCTCACATTGCCCCTCAAGAGACAGGATTCCAGTGTCTTCATTGTGGTGGATATTTGTTCTCTTTGGCCTCCAGATAGCCAGACTTTCCTGACTTGTCTGCCTGGAGGCAAGGCCAGCGGTGCCTTCATGGGACCGATCCTGTGGTGTGTGATTTTAAGGATTCTTGGTCAGTTTTGCCCTTTTTAGGTTGCCCAAAGTTTTACATGAGTATTTTGATTGGAATAGGTTGATCCTATAAACTATTTGGGAAAGATTGTTCACTTTAAAAATGTTGTTTCCCATCAAGGAACATGCCTTTCCATTTATTACAGTATTATATTCCTGAGTAAATTTTTCTAATTTTCTTCATGAAAGTTCTATACAATTTTGTTATTGTAAATAGTTTTTTTCATTATATTTTTCTAGTTGGTTATTGCTCTTACATAGGAAAGTTATTTTTAATTATGTATTTGTGAAACTAGCCACATCACTGAATGTTCTTAATTTTCAATAATTTCTCAATTCTGTTATAATTTGTGGTTTAAAATTATATCATCTACAAATAATAGTTTTGTTTCTTTTTTTCTGCCTGTTGCAATTTTTTTGTTATTTTAGACATATAGTTCTAAGCTTTGTTTTGGTACAAAGCATACTAAAAGAAGGACATTTTATGATACAGTTCAGTCCTGAGTCCTAATTAAAAACAACAACAGAAAACCACTTTAAAGGCCACAGAGAAACTTTCCTTTATCAGCTGTATTTCAAGCCTATGGTATCCTTTAAAACTAGGGACCAAACTGGCTGCCAACAGCGTTATTCTCTTATTCCTCCAGAAGTCTTGCCAAGGTCCACCTGGGCAGAGGAGCCATCTGCACACCTAGAAAATGTAAAGGCTGAGCCACTTGCCTGGCAGTGACTGGAGAGGGTGGGGGGTCCCTGGCGCAAAATGATCCTGTTTCCTGCTCAACTTTTGGGCTACACAGTCCCCAAGGCGTGTGGGTAGGTGATGCTCCCATGACCTAAGCCACCTTCCCACACCTGGGAGGTGCCCTCCATGGCATAGGATGCAGTGTACACAAGAGCCTGAGGACCCCCAGTCAGGGTTGTCAGACCTGCTGTCCCCAGAGAGTGGGGTCTGGGCCCGTCGACTTCTCGGCCCCTGATCCCCAGACCCTGGAGGGGCAACAAAGGAGGGCCCTTTGCCCCTGCCCAGGGACTCAGGGCCAGTATGCCCAGGGTCCACCACTTCCAAATGCGAGAGCACAGGGAAGCTGTTAGATGACGACTAAGTGCTCAGTAAGGAGCCTGATGCCAGTTAATGAAAAAAAGCAAACACAACAAATGGGTTTCCAGTTAGAAAATGAGAAGGACCAAAGATCCGATTCCAACACCAACTACAAGTTGAAGGCACGTATCCCCTAAAGGCGGGCACCAGGCCCTGGGTTGTAAAGGGGAGCAACACACCCACGGAGTTTTGTTGAGGGGGTTGGGGGGAAAAATTCAGTAAATCTCAAAAACATGTATGCAGCTACACACTGTGACAAGTGCTAGGAAGGAAAAGGATTCTATGAGAGTGTTACAGGTGGATTTCCCAGAGAGGACTTTGGGGAAGTGGCATTTAAACTGAGACCAGAAAGATGAGATAGGGGAGGAAGTGGACAGCGTGAGGGAATGTTCCAATAACAAGAAGACAGGGACAGATACTTTTTAGATAAAGATACATGAGTGGTTAAAAGAAATAGGAATATTCAGCCTTACTAGTAATCTTAAGAGTTATAAATTGAAAGAACAAGATGTTTTGGGTGTATTGAACGAGCAGGGTTGTGTGTGCGCGTAAATGTTCGGCTTGGCAAAGGAGGAATGATAGCATCCATCTACTGTGATAAGAATGTTTAAAAAAATTAGTACTCTTTGCCTTAGCATTTTACCTTTTATGATACAAGGCAAAATATAATATTATAAGACTGAAAAATTAGAAACAACCTAAATGGTTGAATAAATGGTGCAATATTATAAAGCTAATAAAAACAATGCTTGGGGCCACCCCGGGGCCGAGTGGTTAAGTTTGTGCGCTCCACTTTGGTGGCCCAGGGTTTCCCTGGTTCGGGTCCTGGGCATCGACATGGCACTGCTTATCAAGCTATGCTGAGGCGGCATCTCACATAGCACAACCACAAGGACCTACAACTAGAATATACAACTATGTACTGGGCGGGGGGGGGGCTTTGGGAGGAAGAAGGAGGGGAAAAAAACAACCAAAACTGAAGATTGGCAACAGATGTTAGCTAAGGTGCCAGTCTTAAAACAAACAAAAAAAAACCCAGTGCTTTTCATTAACCTTATTTGGTAGGGTGGGTCTCATCTTCTTTCCATTTTCTCTTGAGCCCATTCCAGTTTCACCTTCACCTTCAACACTTCACTGAACATTTATAGAATATTTCACCAAAAGCAGAATACACATTCTTCTCAAGCACACATGAAACATCGCTAAGACAGATGACATCTAGGCCATGCAAATTTAAAAGAATAGAAATCAAAGTATGTTCTCAGATCACAATGAAATTAAACTAGAAATTAATAGCAGAAAGCTGTAAAATCCCAAAATATTTAGAGATTTAACAACACACTCATAAATAACAAATGGGTCAAAGAAGAAGTCTCAAGAGGAATTTAAAAATATTTTGAACTAAATGAAAATGAAAATACAACTTATCAAAATTTGTGGGATGCAATGAAAGCAATGCTTAGAGGGAAATTTATAGCATTGGATGCATATACTAGAAAAGAAGAAAGGACTAAAATCAATAATCTTGTTTCCACCTTAAGATCTACAAAAGAAGATGTAATTAAATCCAAAGTAAACAAAAGAAAAGACATGATAAAAATTAGAATAGAAATATATGAAATGAAAAACAGGAAATAAACAGAGAAAATCAACAAAATCAAAAGAAAATATCTGGGCCAGCCTGGTGGCACAGTAGTTAAGTTCGTGGGCTCTGCTTTAGTGGTCCAGGGTTTGCCAGTTCAGATCTTGGGCGTGGACCTACACACCACTTATCAAGCTATGCTGTGGCAGGCATCCCACATATAGAGTGGAGGAGGATGGGCATGGGCACAGATGTTAGCTCAAGGCCAGTCTTCCTCAGCAAAAAGAGGAGGGCTGGTGGCATATGTTAGCTCAGGGATAATCTTCAAAAAAAAAAAAAAGAAAAGATCTTTGAAAAGATTGACACAATCGATAATCCCCTAGCCAGCCTAACCAACAACAGAAAAGAGAGGGCACAAATTACTAATATCAGAAATGAAAAAGAGGCCATCACTACAAATCCTATGAACATTAAAAGGATAATGCAGGAATATTATGAACAACGCTACGCCCACAAATTTGGGAACCGAGATTAATGGACCAATTCCTTGAAAGACACAATTGAAAACTCACTCAAGGAAAAACAATCTGAATAGACTTGTCTTAATTAAACTATGAATAATTAACAACCTTCCAAAACAGAAAGCACCAGCCACAGATGGTTTCACTGGTGAATTCTACATTTATGGAAGAAATTTTTCCAATTCTTACAATCTCTTCCAGAAAATAGAAGCAGAAGGAACACTTCCTTACTCATTCTATGAGGCCAGCATTACCCTAATGCCCAAACTGGACAAATCCATTACAAGAAAGGAAAACTATAGACTAATTACTCTCATGGACATAGCTGCCAAAATCCTCAACAAAATATTAGCAAATTGAATCCAACAGTGTATACAAAGAATTATACACAATGACCAAATGAAGTATATATGCAAGGCTAGTTCAACATTTGAAAAATCAATGAATGTAATCCATCACATCAACAAGCTAAAGAAGAAAAATCATGTAATCATCAGATGTAGAAAAAGCATTAGACAAAATCCAGCTCCCATTCATGATAAAAACGTTCACAAACTAAGAATGAGGGGACCTTCCTCAACTTGATAAAGAACATGTACAAAACCTTACAGCCAACATAATAATTAATGGACAGAAACTAGATACTTTCAACGTAAGATCAGGAATAAGGAACAAGGATCAGGAGCAAGGATATCCACTCCCACCACTCCCATTCAACACATATTGAAAGTTCCAGCTAATGCAATAGGACAAATAAAAGAAAGAAAATATATGCAGATTGGGAAGGAAAAAATAAAACTGTCTTTGTTTGCAGATGACATAATTGTCTATGTAGAAAATCCCAAAGAACAGACACACAGATACACACACACACAGACACACACACACACACAAACTCCTGGAACTCATGAGTGATTATAGCAAGGTGGCAGGATACAAGACTAATCTACCAAAGTCGATTGCTTTCCTATATACCAGCAATGAGCAAGTGGAATTTGAAATTAAAAATACAACACTATTTCTATTAGTACACCAAAAAAATGTTTAGGTGTAAATCTAACTAAATATGTACAAGATCTATAGAAGAAAACTACAAAACTTGAAAGAAACCAAAGATCTAAATAAATGGACAGCTATTTCATGTTGATGGATAGGAAGACTGAGCAGTGTTAAGATATCAGTTTTTCCCAAATACTGTCTATATGCTGATGTTTCCCCAATGTATATTTCCAGCTCCAACCTCTCCCCTGATGTCTAAACCTACATATACAATTCCTTCTTGATAGTTCCATTTGGATGTCTAATGGACATCTCAAATTCAAAATGGCTATAACAGGAATCTTGATTTCCCCCACCGCTATTCTGAGACTGTTATCATGGAAGAAAGTAAAGGATTATGTCACACTCTATTATGCCTGGTGGCATTGACATTGTCTCACCATGGGAGATAGAAGATACAAATGTTTCATCAAAGAGGTTAGGAGAAAACTCTGTAGTTTTAAATTTGAATTGGAAGTATCAGTATGAGCTCATGGTGTATTTTTATCTTAAGAAAATGTTTCCTAACTGTGTCTACTGAAAGAGCATGGGAAAAATGATCAGCTCAGCAGCAGTGAGCACCATTTCCCAATAAAAGGAGACAGGTACTTTAGAGAAATAGCCAATTCTAGGTCTGGGGCAGAAAATGTACAGAATGAGTCTAGAACATCTTGTAATACCAGATAGCAAGGATGCTATCAAAAGACTACCGAGATTCTGCCAAAAGAAATCAGAAGCCAACTTTATAGAGGTTCCTGATGGCCAAAGATAGGGCAATTTGAGAATCAATAATGATAATGACTATAATTATTGAAAAATATCAAATATGTCTAAATCTTTGAGTTTATAATTATACTTAAAAAACAAAAACTAGTTGGTTATCATTGGAGGCTGCTATTCAACCAGCTCATTATTTTGAACACATGTAGACAAAATGAAAGAATCTAGCATTTATCCTGCCTTTTTTATACAAAATGCTGGGGAACCAAATAGCGGGGGGTAGGGGGGACGTTTCTCTTTACAGGAATATTCTAGTTAGTAAATGAAAAAAGAATAATAAAATTAAAGAATCACTGTCTTGCAACAAGTAATGAATTCATGGATCTTAACATTAAGCATCAATGCCTACTAACATCAGAAAAAAAAAGAACTAGA